GGGGGGGTTAATTAGTAAAGACAAAAATACAACTATACTCTTTCAAGTATTTAGGTAATCGTGTCTAGACAGGTTGTGACCATTTAGCTGAGACTCAAACAAAAACTATTTGTAAAGGAGAGAGAGAGAAATAAATACCCAAATATGAGAATAAACACAAAACTAAGTGAAGTATTGGAGGAAAGTCAACTTTGCAGAAAATGTTATTAGTGGAAAATAAAAACACAAGAGTTCTATAAAGGCAATTCAATTTACCTGACTTTTAGCAACTTTAAATTAATCCAATGAGGATAAATCAAGGTTGCCAGTGAGGATTTTGCAAAATCACTAGATAGATTTCATGAAAAACTTCTCTCTTTTTGTTAAAAAATCACTAGATTCATTTAAAAAGCTTGGACCCCCTCCCTTCCTACAAAAACGTTTCAGTTTTTATCACTGACCTAAGAAGATCGTTTTAGGTTAGTGGTTTTGATAAACAAAAATATTCTCAAGGCACAAAGTCACTTTATTTATTTGCTTTGGCAGCCCTGGGATAGATAACACAGATAGGTATCGATGTTTAGAACAGGTATCGGTACCAATACTGATACCTATAGATATTTATGTAATCGATACCTGCCCATCACTAGCGGTAATTGCAGGGTCGACATACAAGCCTAGGCCTATGACGACAGTTGACAGTCTGCTGTCTGTCATTAGTTTGTTGAAACCCAGTACTGAAGCTGAGACGAGGACAAGAGCGACTAGTTTTATCATTTTCTTAAACTGTGGAAATAAGAATATCAGAGGTAAAGTAATTATTGTAATTGGTCGTAGATCTAGATTTTGAAAGTGATCATCGAGAGATCAAGATTCTAGGTTTTCTTCTTGAGAATCTAGATCTAGATTAGATTCTAGATCTAGATCTAGATCTAGAATATAGATCTAGATCTAGGGGAGGACTTCCATAACGATCGACCACTATGAGGCAGAGCAGAATTGAGGGAAGGACTTCCGACATTTCCGTAACGAGCGAGCACCCCATCAAACACAATAAAGAAGAGGCCTAGACCGAACCCTACCCCTAACCCTACCCCTACCCTTACCCCTACCGCAAGCCCTCAATTCTGCTCTGTCTCATAGTGGTCGCTCGTTACGTAAGTCCTCCCGAATTGAGGGCTTGGGGTAGGAGTAGGGGTAAGGGTAGGGTAGGGTTAGGGTTAGAGGCCTCTTCTTTATTGTGTTTGATGGGGTGGTCGCTCGTTATGGAAGTCCTTCCAGATCTAGAATCTAATCTAGATCTAGACTAGATCTAGATCTAGATATAGAGATTCAAGAAGATATCTTGATCTAGATATAGAGATTCAAGAAGATATCTTGATCTAGATATAGAGATTCAAGAAGATAATATCTTGATCTAGATCTAGATCTAGAGATTCTAGATCTATAAATCTCCGTCACGCGGAAAATGGAATTGTTCACAGCACTTCCCGCTTCTTGTACACATTTTGTATAACATTATCTAGATCTGGATCTAGAATCTAGATCTACATGATATATTATATATATCTCTCTGCCCCGGTCAATATCAGTCATAAGACGCAATGTGCTATAGCTACGAGGCTCGAAAGGCATAAAACTGACTTTCCGTGCCTTTTTAAATTTTGTTTTTTTGGATTATAAGTTTGATGTCTTCTGCTTCATTTAACTTTATGCCGTCTTTGAGTCCGAACCACAGAATTCTACACTAATAGAACGGGAACTGTACCACGTGACCTGTGAGGAATTGAAGACCGAAAACAATGGCGTCTTGAGGG